GCTGGAGGTCGCGACAGGGCAGCGGACGACGTGCCCCGACGAGACCCCGCGGTGCGGGGCGGGCGGAACTGAAGGGACCCCTGTGGGCCCCCCTCGGGGCTTCCTGGTGTTCACCTTCCGCCTCGGCCCCTTCTTTCCCGTTCCCCTGTCAGGCAGACAGACAAACAGCAGCTGAGGCTGTCCTGGGCGGGTCTGATTATTCCTGTAAATTTTGCACTTATCCCTGTTTACACGCAGTGTAAATGCTCGGTGTGTCTGCTGGTGCAGCAGAACTGGGGGTCCGAGCCATTGTCACTGAAACAAAAGCCCTGAAGGGAGAAAAAGAAGACAAGTTTCCCTAAAATAGAAAATTATGCAGAAGCTGGAAGGTTTTACACTTCAGCCTGGTGAAAGCGCTGCCTGATTCATCCCCCCTCAATGAAACTATCTCTGATTTTTGTGTCCCTTAATTATCAGGAGTTGCCAGTGTTCCCCTTGCAAACCTGCAGGGAAAGAAAGATGGGAGCTGGGAAAATCACAGGGAAAGGCGTTTGGTGTGGGGTGGTCCGGGATCAGAGGGGTGGAAGGGTGTCCTGCAGCAGAGTGGGGCTGGGATACAGGAGAGCTCGGAGCTCTGAGCAGAGTGAACCCAAACGGTACTGAGACAGGGAGCCTCCAAACTGGGAGATGCCGATGCTCCCAGCCAAGTGGTGTGGCTACGGGGGCACAGGAATGGGAGCCAGGCCACTGCCAGGCTTTGCTCATCTTCTATCCCCCCTCCAAACTGGTCAGAAAGCGCCCAGCAACAGGTACAACCCTGCAACCAGAGCTGGCAGGGGACATTGGTGGTGACATCCCAGGCTGCTCTGTCTGCGTCCAGAGCAGATGCTGTTGTGGGCAGAATGGAAATGGAACTGCCTCTTTAGCAGGGTTTTGCTTTCACGTTCTTCCTAATGGATTAGTTATAGAAAATACGTGAGGTTTTGCTCTGATCTCTCCATCGTTGTGTTGAGGATGGGACCGGCACCCTTTCCAACACTGCCTTCCCCTTGTTCCTCCCCGCTTTCCATAACGTTGCTGGTTTTTCTTGTTGCAGTCACGGACAAATTCACAGAGAGCATGTATGTGCTGGCCAACGAGCCCTCTGTGGCGCTGTACCGGCTCCAGGAGCACGTGCGGAGATCCCTGCCAGAGCTGGCACAGCACAAGGTGAGCCACGCTTTGCTTTGGGCTCCAGAGCTGTGCCACAGGCGGGTGCAAGCTATTTGGACGACTTGGCACATCGTCCCTATTTCACCTTCCTGGGGTAGAAATCAGCCACTGGGGTGTGAGAAGCTGCGGGACCCCAGCTTGGTCTGAAATATTGCAAATTTACCTGAGGTAAAGAAGGTTGAGAGTCCAACCCCGTGCTCACACAGCTGGACTTGTGCGTGAATACAAAGGAAAACAACCCGTCTTGTTTTGTGCAGGAGAGAGGGAGATGTTAAATCTTATTACCGCTGCCTACGCTGGGAGCTTTTTATTTCCTACATAAAATAAGGGGGAGGGGGAGAGGAGGGAAGAAGGGGGAGCATGAAGAAAAGTGAGGAGAGCCCACATGAGGCAAAGAGGGATAATGAATCGCGTCTCACAGCTGTGTTCCTGCTTTTCTCCAGAGCACGGAGCGCAGACACTTTAATGCCAGCCTTGTTGTCCTTCTCCCTCTTCTGCCAGTCATGATTCATTAGGAGTGATGTCTCATGAATAGATTACTGCTTCATGTCTATGCTAATGCACTGTCAGGCCCCATTTTTCACCTTTGCTTTACAGCCCTGGTTTCCAAATTAACCTGGATTGTGACACTTTATTATTCAATTATTTATTAGCGTTTCCTATACGTGTCTCCGTGTGCTGGTAGGTATATAGAGACATATATGTATGTATAGCACATGCTGATGTGATTGCATCACTGGCATGCAGAAGACAGGTTTGTAATCTTATTCCTGAGCTGTCACCTGCTTTCATTTAATCAAGATAGTCCCAATATCAGGGAATGTGTCCTGAACAAAAGGAAATGGAGCAAATTGTATGACAAGTCATGCAGAGGGAAGGGATCACTTTCCATCACTGAACGGGGATGAGGGTGAGGGGCAGTGCAGAAGCACTGATGGAAACGATGGTCGAGAGAAGGTCTTGGACACAGAGCAAGTTGTGAGGTAGTGAGGTTTATACCGGGCAAACCCCCTGCAAACCTCTGATACTCTCGTTTTCCCCACTCATCACACTCATTGCAGTTATCCGCAGCGTTCTGCAACCTCTCTGGCTCATCTAAGCTCATCTCCTGGCTGCAGCCATTCCAGAGGTTGCTCTTTTGTAGCCAGAATCGCTGCTGTTTTCTACTTTCTTCCTGTGAGAAAGGAGGTCACACCATCCTGTGGATGCCAAAAGCAAACTCAAAGACCCTGCGTGCCTCTGCGTGACTGCAGCTGTCGCAAGCACCAGATGCCTTTGGTCTTTGATGCCTTCGTGTTCAGCCTCGCAGCCTCCCTCCTGCCCTGGCCGCTAACCCCAGCTGGTGGCCTTTGTAGGAGAGGAAGAGCTCGCCGTGCAGTGTCTGAAGTGGTGACATGGTGCTCTCTGCCCTTGGACGCTGCCCCAGTGCTACCCCAGTACCTTTCCAGTGCTAGAAAATTTGGCAGAGTGAGGTGATGGTTGGACTTGGTGTTCTTAAAGGTCTTTTCCAACCAAGTTATTCTATGAAAACATTTCCTGATGTTTGCTTGGAGCCCCTGAGCCCAGGCAGCCGAGTCCCAGGAGAGAGGGATGTGCTTGGGGCCCTGACGGGGCCATCACCACAGCGGAGCAGTCGGTTCGATGGGGATGGATATTTTGGGTTGCTCTGCCAGAGCTTTGTGGGTAGACATTGGAACAGGAGGGTGTCGGTAGGGCTGTGCGCCATGAAAACGCTGTCAGGTTTCATCTACATCAGAGCAAAGGCATTAAAGTGAGGCGGGTTTAATTCTTCAGAACAGAAAAGAAGAAAAAGGAGCATTCTGTGTGGATCCATTCTCGGGTAATTTAGTCTCAAGATGTAGGTAATGTGTAAGGGAAACAGGATTTATTGGTGGTTTCCAGCTTCAGCCAGGCACCAACTCCTTCTCTGGCTGAGTTCTCCTGAGACAGAGCCTTTGAAATTTCCCAGAGGGATTAATCCCAGGAAAAACTGGGAAGAATTGGGCTGGGAGAAAAGTGTCTGCAAAGAGAAGGTCACCTCCATGCCTTTACAACAAGCAACTTCCTGTGATTTGATGAAATTATAATCTTAATACCTTCCTCGCCATCTCCAACTCTCCAAGCAGATTTACCAGCTCCCTGGTAAGAGCCGGCACGATGCGAGGCCCCCGCTGCCTCCGTGCATCGTCACTGCACTGCTGAGCCCCGCTCCGCACAGAGCGGCCTTTCTGGATTTTCCCTGATCTTTTGAGAACATCTCCTCGTTAATTTACTTCCAATTTATCATCAGTGCTATTGTCTATTAATAGCTGGCTTAAACTGCATCCAAGGGCATGTCCTGGGAATCTGAAGAAAGGACATCAAGAAAAGATTAAGAAGTGAGGAGCTCTTGGGAAAGGCTCTTGCTCCTAATTAAGGACATGAAAATCCCAGGAAGTGGTGGGGATGCTGGGAGCAAACATCACTGGCTCCGATACAGGGAAATGGTTCCAATATACAGGACCGCAGGTGAGCGGCTGTGACACGCGTGAGTGCGCCAGTGCGATGCCGGGGTCTAAATGGTCGTTAAGGATAATCTGGCACCTCTTGGAGAGAGCAGGGTGAGGAGCTGCAGGGAAGTTTCTGCAATGCAAAGCGTTTTCCCAGCAACAGTAAAACGCGATTGGACTCTGGGATGAGCGCAGTCTCTGTGGGGTTGCGAGTCCTGGGTTGAAGGACGCTCTCCTGCAGAGAGCTGCTGAGAGCGCTGCGTGCCGAAGCTTGTTTCTTTTGTGGTTTGAAACTGCGTGGTCAAGCGTCCCGATGTAGGGCAGGCTTTGAACAGCAGCAGTGATTTTGGATGCAGTCCAAGCTCCAACCCGACCTCCTTCACTCACAGAGAGAGGCCCTTGCATTCGCTCTGGCTTGTAACTGGAGCCAGCAGAATAGATGAGAATGAACTCCCATGAGAACAGATTTTAAAGAGTGCCCCAACCACTTAAGGACTTTTGAAACGTTATCTATTAGGCTACACCTCTGAATTCAGCTGTGCTCCCGTTGTGATTTGTGTATTTGTTTGGTGTTCCCTTTCCATGGAGCTGCAGCGTGCGACTATGTCCCGTGCCAGCACTGGCTGCGTGCAGCGCTCCAGCTTGTGTGAGTTCATGGGGCTCCTTCCAGCTCGCGAGGGGAGGGCACGGCACTGGCTGCTGCTTGGGAGCAGGCACCAGAGCTTCCAAGCAGACTGGAGGATGAAAACGTTTATGAATGGCAGGTCTAATGAAAGGAGGAATTTCAGTGCTGTGAAAAACTTTTACCTGGTTTTGCATGGATTAAGGACCGAACTCTAGCTGTTAGTTCAGATCCCAGCTGCCTGCAGGGCAGGAGATTGGGGTGATCCAAAACTCCCAGCCCATCCATTGCACTCAGTGCAGTCACTGGTTGCCTGCAGCCTGACTGACTGTGGCTCATGGACTCAAACATCTAAAAAACAAGGGCAATTTTGCCAGAGTATCCAAGGCATTGACATGAACTAGTAGCCCTTCCAGAAATACACACAGTAAGTGTTTCTTTTTAGATGCTAGTGCTTGGTGCCGGAGCACATCACAGGCTGTTAGCAGGAGACAGAATCCAAACTCAATTTCCAGCAAAGAGCAGCTGGAGCCCTCGCCTGGGCAGCGCTGGCAGAGCCTGTTGCTGTGGGCTGCGTCAATTCAGTGCGTACCTCACGCTGTCTCCTTCTCTTCTCTTCCAGTCCGACATGCAGAGCTGGGAGGAGCAGAGCCAAGGAGCCATCTACACCGTGGAGTACGCCTGCAGGTACAGGAGACTCCTCCAAGCAGGAGGGTCGCGCTTGCAGGTGGAGGGGTTGCGGTAGAAACAGAGCAGAAGCCACCTGCACTTCCCTGACACCTCCCTGGTGTAAGCAGGGGTGCAAGGGCGTGCGGCAGCGCCCTCTGAACCATTACGGTGGATCTCGGGGGGCTTGGCTTTGATGAGCGTGCCGGCTCTTCCCCGGTTCTGCCTGCGGTGCAGAGCTGCCCATCTCCTGCGGTGAACCCACCCACCAGCTACTGTGTGAAAACGCATAGGTCGAGGTTTCTTATTAATAGTCCTCTCTGTCAGGGGGTGTGTGCTCTAAAACCACTGTGCCTTTGGAAATACTGACCTCCAGCTCCTCCACCCCGCTCTTTTCTTCTTCCAGTGCCATAAAGAACATGACGGACAGCAGCGTGTATTTCAAGAGCATCGACAGCCTCCTCAAACACGCCATCGCCATGAAGGAGCAGCTGAACGCTGCACAGGGCCGCAGGTAGCAGGGGGATGTGACACTGCCTGTCTCTGAGTGACTCTGCTGGCTCGCGGAGGCTTTGGTGGTGAAATGCAGCCCGGTGCAAATATCCCAAGCTGTTAACTCACTAACACAATTCTAGGCTGTTAAAGAGCACGCTGCTTGCCTCCCAGCGATCTGCTGGCTTTGTTTACTGGGAAGCAAATAATCTCGTTTACAAAAGGGTAACTGGAAAATAATTTATTTCCTTGTTTCAAAAGGGATGTTTGGTTGTGTAATACATTAAATCTTTGTTGTGTCAGGGGCATTTGGAGTGGGATCATGGTACCGAGATGGAGCGGGTGCGAGGCTGCGTTTGGTGCTGTTTTCTGTTGTGTACGTGGCTTTTTTGGGGCAGATTCCACAGAGAGAAGTGGTGCTGACAGATGTCACAGAACGATGATGCATTTTTTTATGTTTGCAGTTGATCTGCAGCTACTAAAATATCTTCTAGCAGATTGTCTGAGTCTGGTGTGTTTGTCTCTCCTGAGAATGGTGTTGGTATTGGAGTCTGACTGGGTGGGAGTGACAAAATTCTCAAATGCCCGTCCCTGATAAAACCACCAAGTGAACAGGGAGCCCTGTCTCTGCAGAGTGACTCTGCCTTACATGTTTCTGGTTCAGGTTCCGTGTTTTCCCTGCTGCTCCTGTGGCAGAGTCACTCTGTGCAGCCCAGAGCATTTTTAGTGGTTTTCGTGGTGGTGTGACTGCAGCAATGCTGTCTCAACACCCGTCGGGGCTGCTCCGCAGTCTGCCCAGCACACTGAAAGGTCTGCTTGTGTAAGCTGCTCTCCTGCTGCGAGCAGGGAGAGTTTATTTGAGGGAGTCCCTGGTTCTTCACGTTTTACGGCTGCTGGTGCCCTGTTTGCCTGCTGGACATGACCCTCTCCTTCTTTTTACAGTGCTGTTGCCCCACAAGCCAAGAATCCTCCATCCAGTTCCTGATTTCGGACACAGTTGGCCATCCTCTGCTGCCGTCTCCAGCCCAGCTCTGTGTTCTCCAACCATGGGGAAGAGGGAGAAACCACCGCTCAATCTGCGAAGCTGCACAGAGTGTAACACAGCCTGTAACAAGGTGCTGCCCCCAGGCAGGCAAATTCACTGCCACTGGGGTCAGGACTGCCTTTGGGGGTGTTTTGGGAAGTACTCAGAAGGGAAATGTGGGGCTCTGTGTTTTTCCTCTCCAGTTCTACTTCAGTGGCAGACTGCTACGAGGTGTTTTTCTCTCTACTTCTTGGCCGCAGAAATATCGCAGGAAAAAAAACAAACTAGGTCTTGCTTTCAGTGTTTTGTAGATGGCCGTGCAAAGGCACGCTCCAGCTTTGTTCAGGAGGCATTCTGCAAGGAGGGTTTTCAATCTGTGTGCCAGGGAGTTGCTGGGTTTGGTTTGAGTGAGAACAATAATAAAAAGGAAAAAAACAACCAAGAAAGTTGTGGCTTAGTGGAGCTGGGGGGTCTTGAAGCCTGCTGGCTCTGCCTGTTGGAAAGGGCATGGAGCAAAAGAAGGACACACAGGGTTGGAGCCTTTCAAGTGAAAAAAGAAACCGTCCTGTTCTTCAAAAAAAACCCAAAACACAAACAAACAAACAAAAAAAGGACTTTCTTCATGCCCTGTTAAGCAGTGGAAAGCAGAGCTGTACACACAGCTTTGGAGGTCACTTTTAAAAAGATGCAACTTCAGTGTTAATCATAACCAGCAGTCCTGTTCTGCTGAAGAACTTACCAAGGATGCAGGGATCACAGCAGGGCTAAACTCAGTTTCCAAAGAAATCGCGTTGTGCTGATGGTAACGGCTGTCTCAGGTTAACAGCACGGGAGATGAGAGGGAATCTGCGCTGGTGGCCGCCTGTCACTCCCTGAAAATACTTTTCTGGCTGCTGATTGATGAGGAATTGGGGAGGAACAGAGTGTGGAGCTGCAAGGAGCCAGCAAGGTGTTGGTCAGCGCAGGGACAGAGCGAGCTCAGCCTGTCTGCATTTCAGCCTTTGGTGCTTGCGCTTTCTGCCCTGCATGCAGCAGAGGAGTGGCAATGCCTGCCAGCCACTGCCAGCACCGTCCTTGTTCCCTGGGTGACAAATGCCAGCGGTGTTGCAGGTGGCAGGAGGGGCTGGGGACCAGAATGGGGCTTTTGGCTTTGAGCAGAGGTGGCATCTTCTTGGTAAAAGAAGCAAAGAGGCAGAGGTTGGGAAAGCAACCACCCCCAGCTCTGGTGCAATATGACCTATATTAGGTTCTAAACAGCCATGGAAATCCTGGCTCTGGTGCCTGCAGCTCCCCTGGGATGAGACGGGGTGAAAAAGTCCTGCTTCTGCTTACACCAGAGTCGAGTCCTTGCCCGCAGCTCCAGGTTTGCGTGACAGCACATTCCTCATCTCCTGCGTGATGCCATTCCAGGGCTTGCCCTGTGCCTGCAGCAGGCCTGACTCTGCCGACAGCGTCCGGTGCGTGCGGGGAAGGTTGTAACTCTCCTTCTCAGAGCGACGCTCAGGGCTGCCTGAGGAGGTGAGGTTGCTGCTGGCCGCAGAGCCCAGCTGGGATTTCTGCTCTAGGAAAGAAGGGAAGGAAAACTCCCGATGGATCTCAGGCCGGGGCCAGGACGCAGCCGTGTTCTTCTTGTTCGGGTCACTGGCGGAGGATTCGCCGTGCTGGGCTGAGTCGTTCTCGTACAGGGTGTGAGAGACCTCGGAGCGGCTGCAGCGCGAAGCCTGGGAAGCCCGGACCAGGGCATGGGTCACTGTGATCAGGAGGACGATGATGCCAGAGGAGAGGATGCAAGCGCTGGCAATGCCGGCCTCCAGTTCAAACAGCAGCAGCATGTAGATGGCAAGAGCTGGGGAAAGGAGAGCACAGAACATGTTGAGAAACCAAAAGGACCAAAGCGATGCACACTTCAGGGCCGGTCACTGAGAACAGGAAGTTTGTACTACAGGAATGAGCTGGCAAAGCCATTTGCAAAACAAACCCAGGGCTGAAGTAGAAACCGAGCAAGCAGTGCAGGATGTACGGGCTGGGCTGAAAATGCATGGTCCCTGCTGGGCTGTGGTGGGGGGGAATGAGCACTTGCCTGTTAAATAGACTGAGACCCCGCAGCAGAACAAGCCGATGGCAGCGTGGCGAACTGTCCGGCTGTCCAGGAGGAACCAGTCTGCCCTGCAAAACAGGTGAGAAGCACAGGTCTGTGTAAGGTCTCCTGGCCATGGACTTGGTGCAGGAGAAGTACTGATGCTCTGGGCCCTGCTGAGAAGCTGAAACACTGGTTTTGCATAGAGCAGAGGTTCAGAGCTGGGTCACAAGCCCAAGGACCTCTGCTGAATTGGAGTTTGCTGGGCTGCGCAGCTCTGGGCTGTGCCCTTCCCCCTCTGAGACAGATTTTAAGATAGCTCAAAATCTCAAACTTTTCCTGCCTGGTTCCAGCTGTGCTTTGGAAACCAGATAGGAGCAGGGGCTCGGGGGAGAGCGAGGAATGGCTGAAGGCTTTTTGCAAGTGATTTACCCCTGTTCAGCAAACCCTGAAGAGCAAAGCAAGGAACAAAACTGAGGCCTTGTCAGGCCCATCTTCCCCTTAAAGAAAGGATGACAAGTGCTGGAGCACTGAATTTAAGTCAGGCCAGGTTCTCTCCTCACCCTCAGGATTGGATTTCCATGCTCAGCTCAGATTGCAAGCCTTTTGTATGGTGGGGGCTTGGTACTTGAATTGTGCTTAAAACACATGAGAAGACCAGCTCCTTTCCAGCAGAGCCTTTGTTTCCCACCAGCCCCGACCCCTGCATGCCCTCCTCTGAGCCCTGGCAGCGACAGCTCAGCTTGGGCATCTTTGGAGCTGGCAAAGTTCAGCCCTCGCTGGGCTTTGGAGGCTGCTGTCACCAGAGGATGCCTCTGCTAATTGGAGGTGGTTGTTAGGGGACACAGTGTGGTGTGGAGGACGGGTGCCAGGTGACTCAAGGGGTTGGAAATGTCAGTATTTGGAGAGATGCTGGCTGGGCTGGATGCTGGGAAGCCACAAACAGTCCCTTGAAACAACACAGGGGTGGCACAGGGCATCACTGCTCCCCCTGACTACCTTCAAAAGTCCTCAGGAGCCGTTGGAAACGTGCCCTGGCACCGAAGGCGCAGCAGCACACACGTCCTGGCAGGACCAGCTCTCGCGTCGCTCCTCTGCAGCAGCCACCACCTCCTTCCACCCTGCAGGGTGAAGTCGGCGCCTGAGGATGCCTTACCCTGGCCCAGGCTCCCGCCAGCATGATCTGGCCTCCTCCTGGGCTTTTTGTAGCCTCTCAGCCGTTGCCACCCGTGCAGGGAGCCTGTTAATAGACCTGGACCCGTTAATAAACCCTGGACCCGCCCCTCGCTGCTGCCAGGGAATAGCAGCCGCTTAGTTTTATTAATTACCTGAGTCGAGGGGGGGATTAGTGGGGACGAGAAGGACTTTGTTAGGAGCTGGCCCGCGCTATTGAGCGCGGCGCAGAGAAGCAGAGTGGTAATTCAGTGTGACAGCCCCAACGTGGGAAAGGTCCCTGGGACGTGAGCGGGTCCCCTAATGAAACCGGCGCCCAGTGGGGCTGGGCCAGCTCGGCCATGAGGAGATGGTGCCAATGGCATCCCACGGCGTGGGGGAGAGGGGCTGCGTCCCTGTGTCCCAAAAACCTGCCCTTTTCCTCCCAAACTTGAGCATAACCCTCAAGTTGCAGCTGGGGAAGCTGAGGCACGCCCAGATTAAGAGTCTAAGGGATCTCATATCACCTGCAGCAAAGCTAAAAGCAGCCTCTCGCTTCGCTGGGGCTCTGGAGAAGAGCACAGAAATGTTATCTAAAATCAAGTTGTGTTGTTGACTGCCCTGTAAGCCCTTGAAGGCGTCGCTGCCGTTGGATATGGGCTGCCCCACGGCTGGCATGCTCCATCCCTGTGACTTTGCATCTCGCTGCCTGATTAACACTGCTCCTGCTTCGCATCGGGATTTTTAAAGCTGAACTCCACAACTTCCAAACTGAGCATTTTACATCCCAAATCTAGAGCAGATCTTAGACAAATTTCCAGCTGACGGGGACTTTTCTGCAGTAAGTTTTCCAGCTCCCACCGAAAACAAAGTTTTTGCCATGGGAACTTTGTGTTTTGCCGAAATGTTTTGCTCTCCTTCGTTAATGAGCATCAGCTTCACTTGTGAGGAGACGCTGTCGCTTTCTGGAGGACCTCCAGCCACCATGCGGAGCGTGAGACGATGGGTTTGTCTAATTAGGGACAAAACTAACGGTTGAAACATTATCATTTCCTTTAAATGAGTTTTGATTTAAGTCGGAGCAGTCCCAAAATGGCCCTGTGGGGATGAGCTGCATGGAGGGACCTCCACGTACAGACCAGCTTCCACTGAGATGCTTTTAAATCTGATTATTTGCATGTTATTCTTTTCTTTTTAAAAAGGAGTGGAGCTGGGGCCGGGGCTGGGCCGGGCCAGCGCAGGCAGTGAGGAAGGAGAGGTCTGGACACCGTTTTGCCCGTGTAAATGTGCTGGTAATGATTAAATCAACACATGTCTATTGTTAATGATCCCAGGCCTGCGGTTGTTTTGGTGCTTCCCCAGTGGCCTGCGCAGTCACCCCGAAAAGCCCAGGTTCCCGCTGCACAGGGACAAGTCTCGGGTGGGATTTGTCTCAAACACACACAGAGTGGGGCCCTAACACCGGGACTGGGTTTACACTGGGATGTTCATAGGGAAATTGAGCAGCATATGTTGGGGCAGCTGGGTGGACGGGCTGCTGTAGGCTCACTCCCAGTTGATGGAGTCACTAAGCATAGCTACGCCCCAAATTCTGGGGCACCTTTACCGCCCTGGCACTCATCAGAGACAACCCCATGTCCTGGACAGGCGCTGCAGAGGTGGATTTTTGTGATATCCCAGTACTTGGCAGCATCATTCACTCCCCACAACTCCCTTTTGCAGGGGCAGTGACAAGGGGCCCGGGGCAAAGGCTGGATTTTGGGGTCCAGGAGGTGGCATCGTGGCTGTGCCTGCATCCATGCTGTGGGGACAGGCACTCTGTGACAGATCCCAGGGCAGCGGTGCCACCCTGCATCCCTCATTCCTCCAATCCCCCTGCACCCCCCAGCACCCTTCAGCCCCTGCTGCCCCCTAGACCACCCCTGAACCTCCCCTGCATCCCACAGCATCCCCAGGGCTCCAGAGCATCTTGGTGTCCTCCACACCCC